TGTTTGGGTTTTGAGACAGGGTCTTGCTATGTAGGCTGGTCTTGAACTCACACCGATCCTCCTGCCTCAGCCTCCCGAGTGCTGGGATTACAGGTGTGTGCTACCATGCCCGGCTCCCCTTCCCAGTTTTTACCTTACGAGAAATATAGAGATGGAGGATGGGTGGTCCTCTGTCACAGTCAGATAGATTTCTTCTCTACAGCTCAGAGAGGTGGAGTGGCCCAGTCCTCTAGAGACTGTTCAAGAGCCACCTTCTACCACACACCATCATGCAGGATATGTTACATAATTGTACAAAGGGAATTTGGAAGCTACATGTCAAAGGGAAATGTAAACTCATATCTGAATAGCCTACCCTCAACCCTGAACTCTTCCTAAAGGTACTTTCTTGAATTTGCTTCTCAGGTTTTGTGGCTTCAGTCTCTGATCTTGAAACTTCACAGTGACAGAAAACAACCCCTATTTTGTGTAATCAGTATCAATGGACTCCTCCCTTAGTGGACTGCTCAAAAGTTACATAAATGGCTCTTATTTTAGGTTGATAATTCAAGTTACCAGTCAATCTTCACCGCTCTTAACTCCTTTTTGATATCTTCATTTGTCATTAACAACCCCAACTACAACATGAACAGAATTTGGAAAAAGATGTAAATACTTTAAATCTGTTGTAATCCCAGTTAGCAAATCTGATTAAAGTGTGATGGCATAATGTCAGGAAAATGAGAAATAAGTTGGGGGGATTCTTAGAGTCATACAATTTTTACTATTCATTGAGAGTTGGCTTCAAGATTCTAGCTCATCTCATTGAGTATGTATTTAAACCTAATTCCTGGATATGTAGCAGCTGTACCAGAATCAATTCCTCTCTTGCCCTTTGCCTCTTTTTTTTTTCAGCTTTAATTGAGCTTATTGGTACATTTTAGGGATACAGTACAGTTACATTTATTGTTGGGATCTTGTACCTCTACATGACAAGTCTTGATTCTCATGTTTTCCCCTTACCTCTGCCCTCCCTTCACCCCCTCCTCCCCTCCCCATCTACAAACACTTTATTTTCATCTTTTCATTCTCTCACATTTTTTTCTTTTCCCTTTTTACTCTTCCCCTACCCATCCCACCTTCCCTACACCTTTAGCTCCTTTCTTCTCATTTCTAAATGTCAGTAATCTTATTAGAATCTTATGCATTGTTGCAGA